TAACAAAATTAAAGAAAATAAACTTTTGAAATTGGTAAAAGGGTTCACATAACAAAAATTCAATACACCACATTAATAGAAATATCAAACCTAAAATACAAGAGTTTCTAAAATTGTTTTCAAAATAATATTACAGAATTTTCATAAATATCTTAAACTAGAAATCCTCTGCCCCGATGTCACACTATCAGAGCATTTTCCCAAATAAAACTGCTGACATACTATATACCAATTGCAGCTGGATCCTCTCCACCTAAAAATATCCACAATTTATACGGTGAGAAAAGAAAAGTTACTTATATGCAAAATACATACAAACACATCACGGTATAATGCATACAAGTATACATGTATTTAATTATCAATTATCCATCATTTTCACAATATATCACAATTAATAATATCACATCAATAATACATGCCAATCATACAATTATTTCCCCATCCATATCCATAACTCATATCACTTTCATAATTTAACGATAATATTTCTACATTCATAACTCATATCAATCTCACAATTAACAGTATCAATTATTCATCATTCACAATCCAACAATTCACATCAATATCACAATTAACACTATGCCAAGACCTCGCCACATCTGACACCAGTGATACAGGTTAATTGCCTCCCTTACTCACACCATACCAGGGGTACGCTCGTCCCTGAAGCATCACCTACCCAAGGTTCGTATCATCCCTGATCTACGAGGAGTACGCTCGTCCCTGAATCATCCACCACCCAGGGTTCGTATCATCCTTAATCCTTCAGTGTGAGTAACAACAATCACATACAATCAATACAATCTATTGCAATTAACCCTATGCCAGGGCTGCCATAACTGACATAAGTGATGGTGTTAATTGTATTTCTCATCCCACACCATGCTAGGGTCACGCCTTCCCTGTAGCACCACTTATACAGAGCCGTGCTATCCTAGTCATCGATGTGAGACATCACAATCACAATCAATATCTCAATCATATAACATCTCATCCTATTATTCAAATTTATAACACGTATATAATTTCATACAACAAATAAACTTAACAAAGTAGAGTTTACATATCCCTCAAGCATATTACATCCATATCATTCATTTAATAATCAATAATACAGCAATTCCCTTCATTAATAGAATAACAGTAAAATCCCTAATTATTCCAAATTATAAGTTAATAGGAGGCTCAGCCTTCCATTCAGATAAATTCAACATTATAAACTATTAGGAGGCTTGGCCGTCCATTCACATAAATTCCAAATTATAAATTAATAGGAGGCTTGGCCGTCCATTCACATAAATCAAACGTTATTCTAAGAAATTCTACCCAATACCCTCATGTATTCTACATATAAATAATCCTCTTTTCCCCCGTACCTGATTAAATAGAAATTTTAGTAGAACCTCCTCTTCTTTCTATTAAACCAGGACCGGAACTAAAGCAGAACCTCCCCTCTTTCTTTCTCTCTTTCTCTCTCTCCTTTCTCTCTTCCAGAATTTCCTTATCTCAAGTTATGAATTTCTTTCAGCCCCTAGCCCCTATTTATAGAAATTCTGAAATTACTATGCACTATGCACTATTCATTAAAATAATATTATAAATTACTATGCACTATTCATTATTATATTCAAATTTATTTAAAAATTTGAACCCGCGTCCCTCGCAGCCGTCAGTTACTGTGCACGTGCACAGTAAAACACTATTTACAAATACGTAAATACGTATTTATGAATAGTGAAAAATGTATACGTGAATAGTAAAATACATGAATAGTAAAATACGTAAATAGTAAAATACTTAAATAAAAATATGATAAACCTTTTAATAATCCCAATACATAAAAATAAAATTTTGGGATGTTACAATTTATCCCTTTCATCCGGACTTATTAAAGTCATCCTTTTCAACTTGGCTCCAAATGACCAGTTATTTTAGGCAGCATTATTCTACTCATATTTACTGCCTTTTTCCGAGCTCTATCACAATATTATTTTACTCAAATTCATTTCCAGTTGTTTCGAGTCATCTCTGTTTGAATTATTTCATACCCTTAATAATATTTATTGATAATAGTAATTACATTTAATTTAAGAGATATTCTTAAAATGATAGTATTAAATAGGACCAAGTTTGTTAGAATTTTTTTATATTTAACTCCAAATCTTTAATTTTTTTATTTTTTTTTTGCTTATATATGAGTGTAGAGGGAGTATTTGCTTATATGTTTAGCTTTGAATGTGCATGCATGCCTGATTTGTTGTGGATTATCGTCATGTTTTTCTTTTAACATGTTCTTTTGTAAGTTTCAAAGGGCATTTTTACCGAAGGATCCTTTGACCAAAAATAAAAGTCGTATTTAGTTGTAAAGACAATCACATCATTATTTATATCACATATCATTCCTTATTTGGGGGTATATGTCAATTAATTTACATGTCTTATTCTCACTTTTTACACAACTAAACAAGAGAAAAATGTTTTTATTTTATTTGATATTTTTTCTAACTAGATAATTAAAAAATTATCTCACATTCTAGTAATTTTCTTTCTTTTTCTTTATTTTCTCCTTCACTTTCTTAGTTTTATATCTCCTTTCTAGATCAAAGAAATAAGAACAATAAATTACTCGCTATATCTTTATATGGATAGTTAATATTAAAATATATATATAT